CGTGAGGAGGAACAAAAACAAATACTACCTCAGATCAGTCAGTCCTCGATCAACATTCCTAGCCCAATGCCTTACTCCGGTTCCAAATTTCCCATCGATCAAGGCTTAAATGGGTGAGACTGTAAAGTTCTGTTTTTCCGCCTTGTCACATCATACACTGTGCTCGAATGATACTAGTACGTACGTACCACCAACCGCGAGGTAGAGTGCACGTAGAGTCAACCGTTCTAGCTTAAGCTAGTCCATGAACATAGACCAAGCATCATAAAAGCAAAACCTCTAAAATCGCCAGACAAACTCAACCTGTGCCTCAATACTGGACAAATCACCTAGCTTTAGGTACTGTCCACGTGTGGGATCTTCCAAAGATACAGTATGATTTCCCATTCGCTTCATCCTGCAGTGCTCAAGTCGCCGAATTGGAACTATCTTTCTTTTGGTGACATTAATAACAGGGGGGGGGGGAGGAGTGTACTGTACTGTAATCAACAGAGCAAAAGAGGTCGGCGACACACCAAAAAACCCGATCCGTCAAAAGGTTATCCTCGGCAGGGCTTGGTTCTGGTCGCCCTTCCTCCGGCATGTTAACAAGTTAACTGTAGAATACCGGTAGGTAAAGTACCAACCTTTCCACAACCTTCCTTGCGCCCCTTCCATGCATGATAAGGCGGAGCTTATATCCACTCGTATGCCAAGAAAACGCTTTCCCCGCCGCCAAAGTACGGCAGTGGCGGATTGAGGCGATATATCACAGTACCATCCCGGATTCCGAAGCCCGATTTGTACAGTAAATTTACTCGTACAGCAAAGGAACACGGTACATAACTTGTGATGATACCCTTCGGGCAGGTAAATTTGGACGTGACAGGCGACAAAGCACTTTTTCGCCTCGTTCTTTTTCCACCCGGGGAGGGAGGGACACACGCACACGCACACGCACAGGAAGGCAACAACATGTAACATACCACATCTCGAAATCGCAACAGAAAAGAAAAGAAAAAAAAAGGCAAGGAGGAAGAAGGAAGTTTATGCCAACTTCTGGTTTTGCAGGTATGATACTCGTACTGTACGTCAGGTAGATTGGCAGCAAGGCAGGTAGGCAGGCAGGTACGAGTAGGCAGGCAGAAGCAAACGGCAAATCCGGTGAGTAACACTACCTAAGCCCTAATAGATATGATACTTCCAAAAGTTGGTTTTTTTTTCCCCCTTCTTTTTCCACCTCGTCATGCGTATTAGTGCCACTCATCCATCGCCTTGCCTTGAATACCGGGCAGTACTCGAATAATTTGTATCAAACTCCTAGAATCATACAAGCTCACCTGGTT